AGGTTAAAAGCACTTTCTGAGCTACGGCAGCTTCCAACAAACATTAAGAAAAATTGAATTAAAAAAAAAAAAAAAAAGGAAAGTAAAAAGTACTGAGCTATAATCAGCTGTTCCACCAGCAGTTCAGAAAACTGAGCTGGAGAGAACATCTGGACTGGCAGCAGGGGACTAGCAAGTCATCTGTTGCCCTATGTAAAAACTGTGGCTCATGGGATGAAGTGTTTATTACATACACTAAACCCTACCTGTAGCATTCCAAAGCACATTTGGCATGGATGTCACTTGAAACTTCACAAAACTGATGAAGAAAAAACTTAACAGGAAATTTCTTCCATTACATGGCTTAGTTACGATTTTTAACCCCAAAAATATGGACACAACATCCTGTCTTAAAAAAGCCTTCAAATCCGGCCTCAAAAAAGGCCCAAAGGAGCTCCTGGAACATTTGCTGACCCCAAATCTGCTGATTCCCTATCTCTCACTGATCATACCGCTGTATTGAAGAAAGCTGGACTAATTAAAATTAAAACTGAATCGTAAATCAATCTCTTATTTTTGCACGAAATTCAGATCCTAGACTATGAAATAACTTAAAATTTTGCCTAAGTGTTCAGGTGAAAAGCATCATAGTATTAAAAAATCAAAATAAACCAAACTAACCTTTGTCCAAAACAAAACCAAAACCCAAACAAACAGAAAAAAAAAAAACAACAAACAAAAAAAAACCAACCAAAAAAAAAAAACCCACAAAAAAATAAAACCCCAAAGTCTAAGCATCACATGATTTCTGAATTTTAATTCTACCATTATTCCTAAAGGCTCACAGAAATGTATCAGTATACCTACTGACATTCAGAATTGGATTAAGACAGAATAGAATCCAAAAATCTAATGAAAACCAAATCTAATGAAAAGACAGGAAAAGCCTTAAAAGTCAAAACAATACTCTCAGACCTCAACAAGTCTAGAAGGGCAACATCATTTACACATTCTATTCATGTAGTGCTCTGGGAAAAATCTTTACTAGGTAATATCTTGTTCTCAATTATTTTTAAATTGTTTTGCCTGATTATTATTTTAGACACATTTGCTATTTGGAGAAATGAATTTAAATTACAACACAATCAACCACTCTAGTTGTGATCCCACCTGGTCTCCAGGGTGTACGACATCATTTCTAATGAATCTGTGAGCCGAATAACCTTTGAATATGATTTTAGGAGGAAAAAAAAATATACTTTGCTTGTGCAAAATTAATTACAAGTAGAATTCTTACTTAAGATGGGGGGGGGGTGTTTACATGCATTTCAAGAGAGCTATCTTTAACAGGAACACAACAGAGACCTTTAATTTCCTCCAAAACTAGCTGTACAATGCCAACTAGAGCCAGTCCAGAGCTTCTGGCACCCCTTTTACACTAAAGCATTTCCCTGTCATGAATTCAGGGCTAGAAAAGTCACAATTATTAACAGGAACCAAAGAAAATTATATAAAAGTTTGCTTTTCAACAGAAAATGTTAAAATCAACTGCAATTCTCACTGAAGCTTTGTGATTCTGGTTTTTGGGTTGTTTGCTGAGGGAAACAAGATGGATACAGATATAGACAGAAAGGATGGAGATAATGGAGAGGAAAAGTCACCAAATTAGAACATTTAAGGAAAAAAATACCCAGGATCTAGATTTTAGAAAAACTCACAAGAATGTGCAAGAGCTATGAAAATTATTAAAGTAAAAGTTTATTTTTGATTGATTTTTAAAGCACTGTATATATTCTTTTATTGAAAATAGTCAAGCAAAAAGTATTCTATTGGCCAGCTATCTTATCTGCAATTTCTCATTTCAATGAAATTGAGCTGTTATTCTCCTGTGACAACACCATGAACAGCATAATTTTAAAATCTTGTTCACAGTTTGCAGAAAACCTCCTGCTTCATGAAACACTAGTATAAATATGGATTAGAATATTAAAAATATGCCTTTTTCTTTTTAAGTAGCACTATGGTGTAAAGATGTAGTTTCCAGGCTCTCCGTTGAACTATTGAATAGGTTTACTATTGCTTTTCTTGTAGCTACTCTCTACTTACATGAATTTTACTAAAAAACAGTATTTAAGAACACAAGGGATATAAATCCTTTTTTTTTTTTTTTTTTTTTAGCATGGATATGGATCTTTTGCCACACTCTGTTACAGCAAATATTCACAGCCCCCTTCACAGACAACTGAATAATCTTGCAAATGCTGTGAGATAAACTCACTTACATCTTGGCTTTCAAAGAAAATGTAGACAGACTAAACTGATAAAGCAACTGTTCCTTAATCTCCTTCACGGTAGAGAATTAGTTTCTCACAATTCCAAAGTGAATTGAGCATTCTCTGCATTTGATGTTTAAGTACCTGTAGATTTAACAGCTCTTCCCACTACAGAAGGAAAGGGATTTAGTACAAGCTCTGTACAGGACAGAAGGCTGTGCTAGCTGAAGAAATTTCACTCAGCAAGCAAGCTTTTCTGTAGACCATTCAACAGACTGTGTTTGCTCTGTCATTTATTTTGAGCAAACTTTCACCATCAGCCAGCAACTTCAGTCTCTCTCACAGATTTTTATACTCGCCTCAACCAGGCTAGAGCTGCTCATCCACTGGTATGGAAATTAGCAGAATGCCAATACATACTAAATTGGGTAAAAAAAAAAAAAAAACCACCAAAAAACAAACTAAACATATTCAATGAAATGTCAGTTTGATTCTTTCAGTATTGCTTGGAATCTGCACACACAAAGAACAGGAGAAAAAATGCAAGCTATTTTTTAATCACTTCTGTGAAGCTTACAATGACCATGACAATTTTAACTTTTCAGCATTAAAACTTGACTATAAACACATAGAGAATATTTACTGTCTCAGGTATGAGGATGAAAGAATCCCTTAATGACTAGAAAAGTTCACAGCGTCCTGTGCTTGAAGGGGAAGAAAAGGTTTCCACAACCATTTGAAGAGAACTCATGATATGCAACAGCAAATCTGGAGATGGGAGGGAATGGGAAATGACCCTCAAGGGACCCACAGTCATCCAGTGCAGAGCTTCAGTTTCTCTGGTCTTTGCTATTCTCTAATCTCATCTCTCCCCCTCACAGCTCTTCCCACTTCCCCCTTTCTGCATTCAGTCTGGCACCTCTTCCAAAGCCATAGCATGAAAAGAAATTCCACAGGTACGTATCACTGACCCAACCAAGCCACGCAGGCAGTTCTTCACTTGTGAAGAAATAGTTAACATTGTAAAGTGCAACCTACAAAGGAGCTGGTTGTTTGTCTCATTTATAAATACCCCCAAACACTCAATATCAGCACCACTTTCTTCTCCTGCAGGAAGAACCAGAACAGAGGAAGGTCCATAACCACATTTCATTGTCTCACTAGAGACATTGGTACTCACACACTTGTTGGTTAGTCATAACCATCAAATGAAATAAGATGTGTAATACTATCATATTGATATTAAAGCTTTAAGATTATTTGAAATACAATTTACTTGAGTGTGAATTTAAAGCTTAATAGGAAGGACTAAAATGCATGTCTTATAATAATTAAATCATTATTAAAAATTAAATCACAATATACCACATCAGAAACTCCCCCTGAAATGACCCATTAAATTGTCCCACATAACAAGTCCCAAATAAAGAACAGCCCATCCTACTAAGTATTGAAGTGTCAGTTTTCACACTGGTCATTTGGTTTATTTGACACTGAGTTCCATTAAAAAATTCATCTATGCTATGTAACATGACTGCTGTGTAATCATATCCATCCAGTCCATGGCAATTCAATGCAAGCAAAGGAGAAAAATAGGAAACACAGGAAATTGAACCTGCAGCACAAAAAACCTAACAACTAAGAGATTAACAAGAGACCAGAACTCTACAGTTGCTCTGTGATAAGCCACCACAAGAACATTCAAATGTAACCTTGAAAGGGTTAAAACCTAGCTTTGTAATTAATAAGAAGATCATACCAGATTATGCATCTCAAGGGGGAAAATAAGAGAACTTATCCTGGAATAAGCGATCAATTATTAAAACATGCTTTAAGAAGCTTGTGAAGTTATTGCACCAAACTTATTGTGGAATGTTTAGAGAAACAAAAGAAAGGAAAGGGAAGAAGATGGTTCAGGGATGAACAAACAGAAAAAATGCAAGAAGGAGACTGAAATAAGCTGGCTGCTTGTGCCTGTTTCTCCATTTAAACCAGTGAAACATTCAGCATACAAGATCAATCTCCTTGCCCCCAATACCTCAGAGAACACAGAGTAAGCAATATTAAGTACTAATAATCAACTAGCATTAATACATGTTTTGACACATGCTATATTTACACTGGTTAATTAAGCTTGCCCAAACTGGGTCTCTAGAAATGTCTACTGAAAATGACCCCTGCTCTGTATTAATTGTTGACTGACCTCCAGAAGCTCTTTGAAATGGAGTTAGTTGTCCTGGGGGAAAACTTTTCCTACATTTCAACAACTTGACAATATGTCAATAAGTTTACAGAGCTTCCAAGTTTTCATCAAATTTTCTTACTATTTTATTTTTATATACAAACATCATCTATTATATATATGCAATATACTATATATAGCAATAAAATATTAATATGCATAAAATGCATAAAATACACAATTATATATGCCTATATAACATATATTTAAATTTATATTTATAGAGAAATATGTTTTTAAATAAAAATAACTACACCATTATATAATACACACAATGCACATGGTATATAAAATGCACATAAGTAGTCACAGATGACAGGAAAGTAATGAAATTGAAATACTATCATTTAGTGTTAGATTTTAGGCAAGTAGAGGAATTTAACTCCACATACTGCAGTTGTTAAACAATCCAAATGACTTTACCAGCTTGGTGAGGAGTGCAGTTTTAACAGAATTGCTATGAAATAATAACCACTAGCACAGCTGAAGTGATGTTTTATACTCACTTTGCGTAGTCAAAGAGCCTGCTGTCCCAGAGCTGGTGATTGCCTCTATACCCAGAATGGAAGAAACAAGAATCTGTACCATCAAACTGGTTGAGACCGTCTTCTGAGTTTTTTGAGGCGTGGCTGTGCACCACATCAAGCAGGACTGTGATGCCCATGGAGTGAGCAACGTCAATCATTTCCTTCAGGTCGTCAGGAGTTCCGTACCGGCTGTGAAAACACAACGTGGTACCATCAGGGCTCATGCTGGCAATGTGGAACATTCATCATGGAAACTACATCAAAGTCTGCAGTTCTTCATCACCTACTCTACAGATGTACACTGCTGATTTTTTCAGCCTCTTAAGCAGTAGCTATTGTGTACAAACTAACAGTTGAAACTGTTTTTCCTTATAAGAATTCCATCATCCACACAACGTTTTGCAGAAATAGTCTGTTTTATTCTTCCCTTTTTAATAATACATCAAATTCAGTATAAAAGATAATGGATACAACTTAAAGTTTCTATTCAATATTGAACATTTCCTTAGGTCAGAAAGGGCAAGAATATATTCATACTGCTGGAATGAAGTAACACAATGATTACAAAACATCCACAAAGCCCACAAAGACCACAAAATACACTATCTGCTATTTTCCTGCTTTGTTATTGTTTTAGGAACTATACCATTTCCTTATTTTTTTTTTTGTCGCCTGTGCCCGACACCCTTTTCTTCAACTAATTAAGCTAGCTAAAAATTGCCTATCTAAATTTAGCCTGGTTGCCACTTGAGCTGCTCTAAGATCAAAAATAAATTTTAAAAAAATTGCTTCCACATGTACCATAATTTTATTAACAACCACCTGAATTCATATTCCATGTAATTTTACTCGATGCCTCAAGTCTAAGTACAGTATGTTACAAGTAAGGGAAAGGGCTCCCACGGAACACACAGAGTCATGATTTTAATTAAGTTCATTGTGAACATTGTATAGTTCTGTTTGCCATCAAAGAAAAGCCCTGCGCACCCTGTTTGCTCCTGCCAAGAATCCCACAACCACAAACCCATGCATAAAGACTGCTGAAGGTAGATTACCCGGAATATGCTATGGCAGCTGAAGTTACTTATAAACTTTTTGTCTGTATTCTATCGAAAGCATTTCACAGAGCAGCTGATCACTGTGCCAAATTGATTTCAGATTTAAGAGGAAGGTAGAGCATATACCTAAGCCATTACTTCCCAGTATACACTTTCTTGCAAACACACACCTGCATGCAACACTGATTTCAGTGGATGGGAAGGAAGGGGAAAGGACAGAGAAGATGCTGGAGCACTTAAACCTACCTTGATGCTGCAAAGAAACTTGTAACCTGATAACCAAAACTGGCATAGTATGCATGTTCCATAATAGCCATCAGCTGGACACAGTTATAGCCTATAATAGGAAAAAAAAATATAACAAACAAATGCCTTAAGGACAGTAAAAAGAGTGTTCAATACCTGTAACATATCCATTCCAGTCTCCTCTCATTTTATCTGCTTCTGACCCTAATGGTTAACACCTAAAGATTCAGTAACTTTCACAAAGCAATTCTACCTAATAGTTTATACTAACATGATCTCCATGGCAAATGAAACAGTCAATTTGTCAAGTGATCTAAGCATACTGAATCTCCCAGATGCATACAGAAATAAGTGCAATCCTTATTTAACTTCAGAATATTATTTATGCCAATCTGCATATCCTGAACTGCTTCAGCTTTTGACACTTGCAGTCAGTGCTAGCCACTGGCTACATATTGTATGACAAAATCACAGGATGGTTAGGGGTAGAAGAGAACTTAAGATCCTCTAGTTCCCACCCCTCTGCCATGGGCAGGAACACTTTCCACTAAACCAGATCATTCAACACCCCTTCCAGAGATGGGGCATCCATAACTTCTCTGAGTAACTTATTCCAGTGCCTCACCAACCGCACAGTAAAGAACTTCTTCCTAATGTCCAAACTAAATACACCCTGCTCCAATATGAGGCCACCCCATCCCTGGTGTCCACTTGGATATCAAGCCATTGACTGAAAACCTTGAGTGTGACCATCCTTCTAATTCCTTATCCACCAAGTGGCCCATCTGTCAGACCCATATCTCCAGCTTACACACAATACTGTAACTTCATGACATCTGAAACCTTTTTTTTCATTCAGCAAAATTGCTTTTTTCCAACTGTAATAGCTATTTCTCCCCTGTAGAAGAGCCTTCCAAAAAGAAAAAACACAAGTGTAATGTGCTTTTATTCCAAGTTTACCCAAAACCAAAGCAGTCAAGTAGGGCTGGGGGACACACTGTGTTGTATCTCAATAGTTCAGTGCATTCTAAAGGAAGAGAACTCTAAAGAATCAGGTTTTATCTACAGGATATTAAGACTCACACCACCATCACTTCTCTGCTTGAAGAAAATATTCACTTCATTCCTTAGTAAAAAACGAGATGTTTTTTATTCTTCCTTGGTTTTTTTATAACTGTGACATTTAAAACCAGAGCTATTATTAGAAGACAGTTGGTGTGAGCTCAGCAATTTGTCAGATTCATTGCTGGTTTATAATTCAAGCTCATACTTATTTTTATTTACATCATTTTTATAAATAAACAGCAACATTGCATCAAATTAATCTCATTCAATTTGCTTGCTCTTTATTTTGCTATTTGTCAAGCACATATTCCTACAAACTACTAATATATTAGAGTTCTCATACAGTGATGTCTTTAAGCTTGTCCTAAAAAGTAAGACATTCCAAAACTAAATCTAATAGACCTGAACAATATATTTAAAAAATAATTCATTCCCACAATGTTTACTTAACGTAAACAAGAAGGAACATTAGTTATAATTTCCATATATCCTAAATTTGATACTGCTTTTATTATTTGGCGTATCAGCCTTTCCATGACATTTCTCTACAAAGAAAAAAATTGTAGGCAAAGCAGAATGCTTTCCTAACTCTGTAAATCCTATTAACTTCCTGGGACAAGTGAAATTCCTTGGCAGTAAGCAGTCACAGATACATAATGTAAAATCCAAAATTGCTTTTTATATAATGTAAAATCCAAAAAAGCTTCCACATGTGCAAACTCCCTCATCTCACCAGCAAGCTCAACTTAGCCAAAAGGCAAAAGCCACAAAACATTGACTTAACATACAAAGCTACAAGAAAACGTCTTCTTCAAGCACTCTGATAAATAAAACAGAATTTTTAAAAAATCAAACACAAACACAGCCACCATTCACAGAGGTTTCAGCTACAGATGCCATGATTATTTTACAGCAGTGTAAAATATATATTTCATCACAAGACAGTAAGAGGCAGTAACTTCTAACCTTGTCCATTACAGAAACAGTGCAAAGACACCATGGGAAAAAATAATTAAAGTGAAATTGAGGTGAACAGTTTTGCTGTGGTTCCTGAGATAGTGTTACCAGCTCTTTCACACATCCTCTCCAATATACTAGAAGTTATTTTCCTCAAGAAGATCTTTCATATTTAAAGTTTCCTTGTTCTGATACTTCTGAGCTAGTGTTCAGGGATAAAAGAAGTATAGCATGCTTATTCTGGCAAAACAAAGAATATCCAAGTATTTCTTTTGTTCTTCCTCAAAACTAAGCTATACACTAGAAGAACCAATTAAGAATGAAGTATTTTTCTGAAGACTGTCACAAAAACAGGCCCTTTTTCAAGCTGAAATCAAACCATGCCAACCATGAAGTACTTATCTGGGCTTTAATAATCATATTTTACTTAAAAATCTGGAATCACATATCCTACTTCTGTCTTTGTTTGTTCTCCATAGATTTCACTTGTTTATAATTTTTGCTCACCTAAGCATCTATTTTTATAGCATGTGTAATTGGGAATTCAAAAAGCCTCTAGATACTTGACAGTTATCTTTTCTAACAAGCACATAAGTATTATCTCTACAAGCATTTCTGGTATTACTTACCAAGATCTTTTATTCTAGGTAGTACATTGTATGTGAAGTTTTTATAAGAAGCTACTTTGCCTTCTGGGGAAGCAATTCCCACATGAGATTCATAGATTCTTAGGCTTTTTAATCTCTTGGGAGAAGGATTCTTATGCTACAAGAAAAAAAAAACAGAGTTGTCATTAGGAACAGCTTAGGAGTGTTGTCATAATCACATGATTTGCACAAGATGAAAAACAACTTAGGTTTATTTTGTTTTTCCTCTAAGAGATTCTAAACATTTCAGAAGCAATTGACCATTTCAAACTGTTAAAGCAAATATCTGTTTGAAATAAATGTCCTTTATGAACAAGAAACTGGACTTTCATGATTCAACACTTTTCTTATATTCTTTTCAAATTACATTTCAGTGTTCAAACTGATAACAGCCACTCCACTTGATGTCCTTCTGAATCACTATGAAGCTTGTTTGAAAATAGAGACAGAAAATAGTAAGATAGGCTTTTATTTTTTAAGCATATCTGCTTTTTGCAGGTACATGAAATCAATGCCTTATTTTGTCTGACATTTATAAATGTGTTATTCCTAAAGAATACATTTCCATAACACAGAATCACCTATATTGTAAATACTTAATATTAAAATATAATTTAAAAATCTCAAGTCTGGAGATCAGCACACAGCATTTCTAGATCAGTGAAAATATTTGAAGACTAGAGAGGCCATTTAAATCAATATCCTATTTGTTAGTTTATTATTCACATGAAATTTTGAAAATGTAGAACAAAACTAGTTGAATACACACATGTGAACAGAAATTAAAGGAACAATGTGAAGAACAAAACTTTTGTTTGAGGCTTGTTCCCTGAGATTTATTTCCACTGGACACCTCTACTATTCATAAAAGGACTTTTTTGTTTTTTCAGTAAGTCTGCACCCAAAAGTTCAAACCTCTTTTTCACTCTAGGTCATCCCAATCACTGCATTCCCAAATCCCTATCTTGATGACATTGAGATGTCACACAGCATCATACACAGAATAGGCCACTAAATTGATAGACTACACACTTTAACAAGAGTTACTGTACATTATGTTATCTATTTTTAAAGAAAGCATTTTCCATGCCAGTCACCTTTTCTCTCTCAAGCAGTTGTTTCATAATTTGAGGTGGATGAGAAATTTTAACTCAAAATAGAGGTTACAGCATCTCCAATATAAACCACTACATACCATTTTTCAGGGAAAACATGAAAAAGTTCAATATGAAACAACATCACTCAGACAGTCTGAGGTTTCCAAATGTTCTCCTAGGGTATTTTTCATATACCATGCAAAGAGTTCTCTCCCTTACAGCAGTGCATGAGAAAAAAAGAGGGATTTAAATTCAATAATGGGATTTTCCGGATACAAAGAAACCAGGATTTGACTGGAGCATTGGAATCTTATTTTGGAAGTTTCTTCTGACTTTATGGAATATTAACCTAGTGTTGAGTACTGAACATTGCATTTGCAGATAATCAGTCCTTAAATCCTGTACTTATAATTCTCTGCTCTCCACCCTACCACGAACAGCCATGTTGTCCCAGAATACCTGTCAATCTTGCCTAACAGGTGGCAAACCAACCAAGTTTAAAATACCAGATTAATAACTATTTTTATATATTCTACAGGAGGCTGAAAAAGCAGCTCAAAAACATCCATCATTAAAGTAATTTATTTCTGTCAAAGCCATGAATAAAAGCCCTTCACCTCTCAGCTGTTTTAACTAGTTTGCAATCTCCTTTTATTTTCTTCCATGCATGGAAACAAAGATAGCATGATACACCTCTTGAAGATAATATTGAAGCCTTACTATATATGACTGTGGTGGATTCCAGTGAACCCAATCATAATTCACTTTGTCTTCATCACGGACCACATATCTTGCCCAGGGTGAAATACGATAGAGGAGGGCGCCGTTCTGAGCACGAATCACCACCTATAAAATAACACAACATATGCAGGCAGTCACTTATAACTCATAGAACGCCTCCTATGCAAACCACAGCACAGAATGAAATAGTAGACTACACAGAAATTTAATTTAAAGAACACACAAACACACGATGCAAGTCAAGAGAAGGAAGAACGACCCAGCCCACAGGGATGATTTGCAAAGGGACAGTAAAGCAGACATGTCAGACAGGAGTGATGTTCATCAGCAAGAGCTGAAAGGTGAGAATATACATAAGATTTATATAAGTAATGGGAGAAGAAGCCTTTCCAAATGGATTTCTGTTATGTTCCCTAATTACCCCTGTCATTGCTATTTCCTTTCCATGTTCTGATAAATTTAAATAGATATGCAGTATAATGCCATTAGGATGAGAACTGTGATTTGTTTAACTTGGCAAACAAAACAATCTGGTAAGGCAATTTTAATATCATAACTCCATCTTCTTTTCCATGCTCTGAGAGTCCTCAACAATGTCACATAGCCCAGAACCACAGACAATACAAGAAGCACAGGACAGTTTTTGGGTCAAGGCAAAGAAAAAGTTCCACCTTGCTCACATCCTCCCACCCCATCCCACCTCCCCTCTCCTCAGCCCAGAAGGAACAGCACCATTCTGGTGTTGCTTGGTATCTTGGCTGCCACTAAAACAGTAACACAGATGGTTTGCAAATTTAAAACCTAGAAATGTACAAGCAAATGAAGGCACAGAATTCTTAATTCTGCTTTTTTAAAGAAAGTGATGACTGATGATTTTTTAGTTTCATTGTTGGTAGTAGGGGGCTTTTTTTTTTTTTGTAAGAAAAATGATGAAATTATAAGAAGCCTCAAATTAAAAGGGTTGAGGTTTTTTCCACTCCTTTGGTGGTTGGTTTTTTTTTGTTTTTTTGGGGTTTTTTTTTGTTACAAATAGTGACTTGTCTTTGCTCCCAATTTCTAACAGGCAGTCTGGAAGATAAAATTATCAAAGAATTGCCTTTTCACCTCTGGCAAGTGTCTTTCATTGTTTTGTTGGATTATCTGCATCCTTAACCCAATCATGGAAGAAGGCAGGATCACAGAATCATGTTTAGTTGATCTTTTAAAGGTCAAACTTTCCTTGACCTTTTCCTCCTTCAAAGAGAAAAATATGTATATGCAGACAGTTAATGGAAGTTGATAGAATAAGGCAAGGAAGAATGACTGCTGTGCCTTAGTACATAGTATTATAACTCCAATAACTCAAAATAGATTTGATAAAATGGAGTAATTAATACCAAAAACCTCACCAGAAAAAGCTGAGAAAGTTATTTCAAACACTGTAAAGCTGTATGGAATTTTTTTTTCTGTTAGTTGTGCTAGCAAAGCTGACCCAAAGAGTATTTCTGCAAATTCTATCAACACCGAGAAGATCCTCCTTGCTGATAGCATTGACAATTTGCAAATTATTCTTAAAATAATAAAAGTTATCTCCTCTCTCTAATATCACACTTCCGATGGTGCTATTGCTTCTTTTATTATTTTGTCCCAATTTACCCATCACAGAACTAAGATGATTACTGCATATAATAACCTACTCATCTTGGCATTCCTTTTTTCTAATATTTTAGCATAATTCATACTAGACAGGCTTATGAAGGGTGGGCACATTCAAGAAATGTGGAGTAATTAATCTACATTCAGAACATTAATTAGCTGTAGTACTGGTTTAATCCAAAAATGATACTGGAGGGGGGAAATGTACATTTCTTTATTATGATATATTAATCCAGTCACGTACTGTCTTTAATTAAAGCCATTAAGCAATGAAAAAGTTAGGAGAAAAAAAAAAAAAAAGACATCAGAAAACCATTTAAATGGCCAACCATCAGTTATTTCACTTTTTCAACTTCTACAGTTACACCACATAACTAATCTCTGTATCCCATCCTTCTGAAAAAGTAAAAGAACTTCTGTTGTTCTGTAGTCACTTAAATTGACCTTATTTTCCCTCATTTGTGAGACACAAGTGCATTTGTTTTACCATTTATTCAGAAGTAATTTTGTTCAAGTGCTAGTGTTGCATTTATTCAAAACATCTACAAAGCCAAACTTAAGGGTTACACTTTTCAGGAATTGAGAGATTTACAGGAAGTTGTACAAGTCTCTAGCAACTTTCACAGACAGAATTTTAATAGATAAAACTAAAACTTCCTAGAAATACATACATTCATTTGTCATATATTATGATAGTAATAATACAGAATCATAAACAAGTTGTGAAAATCTATGGATTGTTTTTATACACTTGAACAGTCTTAAAACTTTAGAGTCTGCTCTATTTTAAGGCTCATAATCTAAATTGTTGGGTTCATTCATTTTAAAACTTTGCTTGCAGTTCTATTATGCAAATATGTAAGAAAACTCCCATGCTCAAAAGAAAAAGTTAACATATAATCACAAGGTTGGAAGAGACATTTAAGATCGTAGAGTCCAACCCAAATCAAAAACGGAAATAATGAAATTTAACCATGCTGATATCAGAAAAATCTCCAAAAATGTGGGGAAGCACTTATTTTAAACAAGCTACCATAAAATTTATTTGTTGCTTTCTTTACAGTATAGGTGGTAATATATCCAGCCATGGCGATAGATGAATCTCACCCCTACAGTAGAAACCCCAAGTTTTCTCATTTGTTGCTGTAATTTTTGAGTATCATGGGCAGTGCACAGAGAAAGCAGAGTCAAAAAGAACAATCACTACACCACCACAGCTGGTAAAGTTGAATTGTTTCCTTCTCTGGTTTGCAGAGGCATAATCAACAGTGTCCTTACAGATCTATCAAGTGATCCCTGGCAATTCCAATTCTTTGTAGCTATGCTTGTTTAATACTTTTCTTAATTTTATGTGAATACCATTTACAGAGTCTCTCCTAGACTTAATTATCAAGCTCTATACTGAATAATCTTATTCCTCTCTCCTGATATTGTATACAGTTTTATTAATAAAAGTTAGAAATAAAAATTCCAAATGTTTTCTGAAGTTTCTTGAGACAGAACTGTCACATCACCATGCTTAGCTGAAGCATGAGCACAGGAATTGGAAAAAACTAAATGGCACTACCAAACAAATAGCAGTTCAGCCCAAGACTGACAAAAATAACTCCAATGCAAACAGCCTGACAGCTTTAATTCCCGAATTTGCTTTGCTATTTCTTGAAACAATTACATATAATTAAAATAATAAAATAATAATTAAAGGAGTAAAATTATAAAGCACACATAAAACAAAGGCAGGTGCTCCACTCACCCCAAATTATGACTTGTGGTCCCTTCTCTGCAGCGTCCAGATATAAAAATTAGCTGCTGTGTATACTCTAAATGTGCTGTTACAGATTTTGCATGCATAAGGAATACTGAATATAGTCATTACACAGCACTTTTGACAGAGTAAATATAAATCAGTTTAAAAGATACTGTACTATTCCTCCAAATTAGTTTGAAATGAGTAAAAACAAATTCATAAAAGTTGCAGCCTAACCAGCTACTACATAGTTCATCAGGACTTTATAGCTGACTTTACATTTTCTAATTAACTCAAAAAACTGCTCTCTAAAGGACATATATAAAACCATGATGTTCATTAAATTAGGCTTTTTCAAACTGGCCTTGGGATTTACCTACTTCATTGTCACAAGATATGTCCCTGATCATTCTTCAACATACGTAAGGAGGGACATGCCACCATTTGGTATAAAAACTACAGCCCCCATTAAATAAAGCTTTAAAAATGCATAGTGCTATAGCAAGAAACACATGCCAAGCAAACTGACAAAAGCTTAGCCTCTCATCCCAAGCAACCTCTTAGTTATTTAGACTTAAGTTAAAGAAAGTCCTAGGTAAAAATAATCCCTGTATTTCTGATCCTATTGTTACAGAAAACACTCCAACAAGAGGACAAGAGAGGGGGAAAAGGAAATCCAAGTTTCTGACACAAACTAATATATCCTCCCCAATTAGTTAAAAACCAACAAAAACTGATGAAGAAGAAAGAAACCAGTATCTCAAAAGAGTTACATATTCCACTGCCCAAATTTAGACAGAATGGAAAAATACAAAATAACATATGTAAAGAACTTGCCACCATTTACATTAACCACCTCTTTGTGTGAAACATGAGATAAAGTAATATATTATCAAACTGTATAGTAGGTGGACAATATCATGATTTTTTTGTGTCTTTGTGCTTAAAGGGAAGTATCTCAAAACAGTAAACCTGTTTAGAACTAGATCAAAAAGAGGGTTTTTCCCCTGTTTCCAAAGTCTCCATGATGGCTTTCCCATTGGAAACTTGTAATAAGAATGTAGGTAATTCAGAGTAAGTCATGCTGAATTTGCCTACATCAACTTTAAAAATAGCTCACCTAAATAGTTTAGGGTTTTTCCCCACCTCCCCTAGTGGTAAGCATTCAAAATCCTTGATTCGACCTTTAAATGTCACATGATTCTGGCTTCCAAGTGAGATATAAATACATGTAAATAAATTATCTCACAGAAATAAGTGTCAGGAAGACAGAATGAAAATGTCCTTCAAAACCTGACATTAAAAAGCCAATTTGCTCTAAAAATGGACATGACATAGACACACAATTTATATAAGTACAACCGCAAAACAACAGAAGTGAAGACCTCAACCTATGCTGTACATCTTTTGTATTCAAAGGTTAAAAATTTATGTTTGGTATTCATTTTCCATTATAGGGATGTTGGGTGTATTTTCAAAGTTTCTGTCTGAAGTGTACAGCATCTTAAAGCTTAGCATCCCAAAGCACTGTAATAACTGCTGTGGATTTCACAGATGAGTACACTTAACATATTAAAAACATGATCTTAAACCTGAGTTTTATGGCATCAGTGCTAATAAGTGATTAATTTTGAAGAACTTTCAGATCTGAATAAAACCACTAAAAAAAACAAATGTATGGCTGTAGTTGGAGAAAACATAAGCAACAAAGGCTGGCTTTGAA